CACTGGGTATAGTCAGAAGCACGGGGGTGAGTGAGAGAATTCACCAGAGCCAGAGAGGAGAGCAGAAAAGGCAGACTGACGAAGTACACTGCTGAGGGGAGCAGCGGGCGGGCAGGAGAGGTCTGCGCATCATGTGGGAGCCTCACTGGTGGTCGGGGATTGAAACGGTGCTGCAGAGGCTGTGGGCAGCTTCACAGCCCAGTGCTCAACCACTGCGCCACTGGGGAGGCCCAGTCTTTCACTAGTTTTGAAAAACTTTTAGCCACTGTCTCATAAAATACTGAATTTATTCCATTGTTTCTTTCTTCTTCTTGAATATTAAAAAAATGTTAGATTTTCCCAACCTATTCTCAGTATCAAACTTCATTTCATCTTGCCTTTATTTTTATGTTTTTATAATTCCCTGGGTGTATGTGCTGCATGGGGAGGGAGAAACACTTCTGATTCACAGTTATATTGAACTTGAAGTCCTTTGGAAGCTAATTTTTTTGAGCAATATGGTTTAATTAGATCCCTCCTACTTAGATCCCTTAAGCTTTGCCTCCATTCCCTCATGCTCCTCCTCAAATTCATAGGTTCTGATGTCAGATTGTTTTCAGATTTCAGCTTTGCTATTTAATAACTATGTATCTTTGGGAATATTAACCTTTCTGTAACCTCAGTTGCCTACACTGTAAGACTGAAGAAATTGTTCATCAAGTTGATATGAAAAGTATAAAAAATTCTAGATGTATAAATAAATATTTAATTAATGATAAATGGGTATAGCCTTTTACCAATGTGATTTTGGTCCAGCAAGAGAGTTGTGAGATGTGTATGAATAGTTTTAATAAATCTAATATGATTGGTTTCATAAGTGATACAATGAAGCTGTCTTGATAATTTTAAAAAACGAACAATCGTTCACTAAAATAATCACAAGCACTTGTAAAAAATGTCAATATAGAAAAATAGGTATTTTTTCCATATTAAAGGGGACATAAAAGTAGATTAAGCAGCTGTATACTCCCTAATTCCTATTTAACAGATTTACAGATAAACCAACCCTTACTCATGTATGTGTTTAAAATGGTTGTTATGCATTTGTGGTTATGGTGTGCAGGGTGTGTGTTTATTTTGTGGTCATCTTAGCTACAGAATAAAAGCAATATAAAAGGCTTGGTATCTTTGCCCAGATGTGAGGAAAATTTGAACTCTAAGCTTTCAGGAAAGTCATGGCCCTCTACCCTTCAAGATGTGGAAGAAGGCAAATTTTGTCTATTTTATTATGATGATTATTATTACTGCATTTGGTCATAGCCTTGCCATGGCCAAGTGTTAGTTCTAGTGCAGCTCTGGCCTCAATGCCCTGGACGCCCTCCTCCAGCATCTGCCTTTAATCACAGACAATATGGTTTGTGTTTAGAATCGAATGACTGTCATCATCTAGCACTAATGTTCTCTGTCACAGGGACTTAACAGCCCATTTGGGGAACACTCTCAGAGACTTTCAAATTCAATATTCTCTCCAAACTCCTGGCTTTTCATTAACTGTGCCATGTGGGTTTCCAAGGCGTGATGCCCAATGGTATTATTTTTCCAAAGAGGTCATGGGAGAGAAGTGTCTTTTTTTTATTTTCAAGTGTTTATTTCAGCACATCTCAACATGCAAAGCTACCATGCCCTGTGTAGAAGTCTGCGTTCACAGATAGCCTACATTCAGAACGCAATCTGATTTTACAATAGAAAGTGCACATGCTTTTGGATTGCATAATATGCAATTACCCAGCACATGATTGAACTGAATTACAAACTGTTGTTGATTTTCTGCATGGAGCTTACTTGGCTCTTTGATATATATTTTCTCATTAGCTTTCCCCTGATTTATTTATGATATTGTTATGCATATAAAGGGCAGATTGCTGAAGTTCACATTGCAATGACCGAATTAGCACTTGAAAAATTCACGGTTATAATGTGCAAATGATTCCCTGCTTGTTCTGAAGGTGTGCTCTAGTCTCCCCTATAATAGTGAAGCTGTCAATTCTATCTTTGCAACACCTTTCACATCTATCCTCTCTTTACCTTTCCCATGACCACCATTTCAGAACCTCGTTATCTCCTGCCTGGAAAATTGTAATATTTTTCTAATCATTTGCACACATACAGGCTAATCCCCTTGAAGTTTATGGTTCTTAGTGCTGCAAGATTAGGTGTCCCAAATCACTATCCTTCTTGTGTTACTTCCAAATCTAAAAGTAGAGAATAAAGAAAAAGGAAAAGAATGCAGAAAATGAGATAGAAAAAGAAGGAAGGAAATAAACAGAAATGTGAGAGGAGAGCAAAGAAGTTTCCTTAAGGAGAAAATAGGGATACAAATAGAAGAAAAGCAGAGAACAAAAAGAAGACCAAGAGGGAGATAACTACATATGCGTCAGTGGAAAGGTGGCAAAGTTCTGTTTAATTGATTTCTGCCTGGTCTCACCTTTGTTTCATGCACTTGTTTTTATGCAATTGGTATATAGGTTGGTGATCTTTTCTGCAGTTACACTCTTCAGTGAAACATTTCTATTTAATCTGCCTAGCTAGGTACTTCTCCACCTGTGTATCTCTCTGCTCGTCTAAACAGAAGGGCATTGTCACTACATGCAAGCATAGGACATTATAATTAGGCCAATTTCAAATATTTATGAGAAAAAGAAAGACATCCTTCTCTTGTCCCCTCTCAGCAGGGGCCATTATTGATTGGATGGTGATGAATTAGTGAGATGTGCTTTGAGGATTGCTAGCCAGCACAGAAGACATACATTGTTACTGCCAATTATGTTACATGCATTTAAAATCTAAGGCAGACAACAAGAGAAGAAAGATGTTTAGCAGCTTCAATTTTTCCACAGTCTAAGGAATTATCTGTGGTAGGTTGTGGGAGAAAATAGAGTGGCCATCACACATTGAAGGTGGAGGCAACGTTCCTTCTTTGTTTTTTATGATTCTAAAGGCCAACTTGTGAAGAGGAGTCATATAAGCAGCCTTAAAAATTCTGAATTGTCAGATAAAGATTTAGGGCCTCACAAAATCAAAATTGGAACAATAAAAGTTTTTATATACATACTTCTTTAAAAAAATGAGGGAAATAAGGAACTGAAAATATTATAGGAGTGCAGTAACATTCACAGTTTGGAAGCATGCTAAATAGTTTTTTTTTTTTTAATTTATTTTTGCCTAGAAGACCTGGGGTGTAGGCCAGAGGTGTGAGGTGGGGAGGGGGCAGGATTCACCAGAGACTGAGTGGGGAGCAAAACAGGCAGGTTTGTTAGTTCCCTGGTGGCCAGGGATCAAACTCAGGCTATAGTGGTGAGTGCTGAGACTTAACTCCTAGTTCTATGCAAAATAGCTAATTGTCTAAAGGAAATCAGGAAGCTGTTAGCTTCTTTTTTAGGAAATGTGATGGGTGAGCAAGTTTAGGCATGTGATTTACATATCACTCAATCAAATCGTATTTCAAATAATATAAACTGAAACCAAGAATAAGATATGAAGACAAAAGAACATACAGCTCTAAAAAATTGTTGCTATCTCTATCTCCATTCTAAAGACTCAAATTCCTGAACATGAAGATTAAAAATATGCATATTTTTACCAATATATTTGTTGAGTCATAGAAATTATGTCCTTATGTAGAAATCTATATTCATAGATAGCCTACATTGTAACAATTACTCAATTATTACTGTTTTCAAAAATAAATGATTTAAGCATAGTTGTGAGATACTTTGTATTGAACAGTATTTTGATATCCAAATATATTTGAAAGTTAAAATAACTGATTTTACATAGATTGTTTTTAAAAGGGAATATCTTGCCATTAGTGTTAGGCAGTAGAAGATCATAAATATACATGACTTAAATTAAGTAGGCAAAATCACAGCAAACAAAACACTCTTCGACAGGTGAATGAATAAACTCTGTATATGGGCAAAGCAGACCTCTCCCGACCCCCACACTGCTTCCCTCATCAGTGTGTTCCAGTAGATCTGCCTGTTCTGTTGCCCACTCTGTCTCTGATGAATCCTCTCACCCTCCCGCCACCCCCCCCACCACACCTCTGACCTGTATCCCAGTTCTTGTATGCATAAATAAATCTTTAAAAAATAAAAAAAAAAATAAATGAACTCTGTGTATGTCTACAAGGGACCATTATGCAATGAAAGCAAGAAGTGTCCTAGCACGCCCTGAAAAGACATGGAAAAACCCTAAATTCATATTGTTAAGTGAAAAAAGCCATTATGGAAAGGGCATATGATGTATAATACCAACTATGATATTCTGGAAAAGGCAAAAACATGGTGACAGTTAAAAAAAATCAGCACTTGCAAGAGATTTGAGAAAGGTGGGGAAAAGATAAGTGAGTAGAGGTCAAGAGAATGTTCTAATTTTCTAAAAATAGTCTTTTAATCTTATTTAAAGTCAGGCTACAAAATAGATGTGCCAGAATGACAGCTAAACCTTTCCTTTAATTTGCTCTCTGAATGGAATACTATGCAGCTTTAAAAAAAGCATGCTTGCCATTTGCAACAGAATAGAAGGAAATAGAGGGAATTATACTAAGTGAAATAATCCAGAAGGGGAAAGACAAACAACAGATTTTTTTCTTTTATATGTGGAATACATTGCGCAAAAAAAAAAAAAAAAAAAGAAAGAAAGAAAGAAAGAAAGAAAAATCCAAAGGACCAGACATACCCAAACCCAGAACAAATCCAAGAAATCTGATTATAAAATTGAAGCTTCCAAACAGGAAGAGGGAGGGTGGAGAAACAATGAGGGAGGAGGTGTAATGGGCTATGATGGGGAGGGAAGTACTATGGGTGCCTTGGTAGCGGGTGTGGTAACATATGTCTGAAGTATGTTAAAATGAAATAAAAAAAATAAACATTACTAATATCAGTCTTACCCATGTTTGAACCATGGATTATTCAATACTACTCTATTTTCAGTCGTGTTTGTTTTAATTTTACTTTCAGAATCTCCTTGTGGATTTTTCTCCTTGCTTCAAACTTCCTTCAGACAGTCTTTTAAGAGTATCTTCATTTTCTTGGTAAGTTATTATATGATTATAACTATGTGAAATAGTGGGTGTCAACTAGACTTATTGCAGTTATCATTCCGCAATATATCCAAATATCAAATCTTTATGTTGTACAACTGAACCTAATAACATAGTGTTGCCTGTCAGTGATATGTCATTAAAATAACCAAGTCTGTTAAATAACTATTTTATTTTATTTTATTAATTTAATTTTTAATATTTATTTATGCATTCAAGAGCTGGGGTAAAAACCAGAAATTGTGGGGGGGGGGTGAGGATTCACCATAGACAGAGTGGGGAGCAGAATAGGCAGATTGACTGAAATACACTGCCAAGGAGAGCAGCAGGCGAAACAGGAAAGGCCTGCTGTGCCATGTGGGTTGCTCCTTGGCTGGCCGGGGATCGAAATGGTGCTACAGAGACTGTTGATTGCTTCATAGTGTGGTGCTTAACCCCTTGCGCCACCAGGGAGGCCCCAATAACTATTTTAATGACATATCCATGGTACCCTCAATTAAAAAAAAATAAGGTTATTGGAAGAGTATACTAAATAGAGATTGATAACACATAAAATTGGAATTAGGATACTATTTTATCAGGACATACTTTTAACTTATATACTCAAGCAGGTTGTTACAGATATTTACCATTCACCTCTCGTGAAACACTTGGCACCTTAGACGTTTGGTAAACATGGTTGATATTTCCACCTTGACTCAAAACTTCTATTCAGATAGTCACTGGTTCATACCCCTGTCCTCAGGGACTGCTGTCGAGGGTGCATGTGTGAGTCCATTCCAAAACGAATGCTCACAGGAAAGCTCTGCCACAGAAGCACCAACAATTCATCTTGCCCTGGTCCTGGCACTTTCCTCCTCCTGTCTGTCCCCATTGACTTAATCCTGTATTTTGTTCATAGTAACCCCATGAAGTAGATAATAAAATTATCCTTTAGATGAGGAAGTTGAGACTCAGAGAGGTTCTGTGCATCACACAAAGTCTCACAGTTGTTGAATGGGAAGAGTCAGAACTCACAGCCAGATCAAGACCCTAACTTTGCACCCATGTGCTCTATTTGCCACTCTAATAGTTTTATGCCTGGATATCACTTATAATGTCATTTAACCTGTTGCAACCCAAAAGCTCAGCACAGTATACTTTGTGACTAGAGAATTTTCTTTTCACTCATTTTTATCAATGATTTTAGATATATGGTATTCCTGTGTGTACTGTAAAAGCTACTTAACCAACTCTAGAATAACAACTAATGTCCATCAGTCAAAAACGGAAACATTGATACTGATGTCCATGGCATGCCTTGTGCCTATGGTGCTCATGATCAGTAAGGATTGAGCCAAGTATTTTCCCTGAATGAGCACTGTATTCAGTTTGTGCTGCATTAATTTATGCTAAGTCATAATTATAGCAGTTTTACTCCATATCTGCAAATCTGACCCAAAAAACCCATGTCTAGCTAATTGTGGGAGAGACACTGTATAAGAAAAGGAAAAACTCTAATCACCTTTTCCTCTCCATTTTAAAGAAATCAGCACTAGTAATTGTCAAAAATGAGTAGTGAGTGGTAACACACATGTGCGCGCACGCGCGCGCGTGCACACACACACACACACACACACACACAAAGATATAACTTCAATTAGAAAACTCAAAATCTACGTAAAGGTTTTGGCTCTACATTTGAGAAATTGGTAAATGATTCCAATACATACATGCTTAAAGTGAAAGTGTGAAAGAAATAGACATATCATTTCCATGATTCCCAGCTTATCAGAACCTTATATTATCAAATATGGTCTCAAATGTATTAAATAAGAGAACCTGTACCTACTATAAATCCATCTCTTAATGTTCATTGTATATGATAAACTAAACAAATGCCTATAATATGTGTGTAGAGGGGGTTATTGGGAATGTTTTTTTCATTTTTCAGTTTTCTGGCTTTTATTCCTGGAAATGAAGGCAGATAATGCTTCATAAGCAAAGATATTGGAGCTTTATCAATGGCAGATACTAAAATTGAAAGCTTATGATGATAGGAACTGGCATATATAATAGTTACTTTCATGCTGTGAGCAACAATTTTTCTAGGGAATCCTAGAAGCTTTCTTGGATAGCAGTGGGATCAAAGGAGTGGGGATATGTGCAGTAAGCTGGTCTCAACTTCTATAGCAAAACAACTTCATTTACTTGTTTTATATTTTAGAGTTAAGCATATGATTTTGTTCAAATAAATGCTTTCCTGGCCAAAAAATGTAATTAGAAAACTGTTGGTCTAGAGATTATGCTTTGAAAATTGAACCTAATATATTAGTGACATATGTCACAAAATCAAATCTAGGAACAGCCATATAGAAAAATGAAAAGAACAGTGTGAGATAATGCTAATAAAATTGGGATAAAGATGAAAAATGCTAAATGGTTTTTCAAATGTATACCGAGGAAAATTATTGCAGAAAAATATACCTTCTAATAAATGAGAACAGTCACTGAAAGGCAATAATTTTAAAATTGTTAAGACATTAGAATCACTTAAATCAATTTAATAAAAAAATAAGTCAGAGTTAATTTTCATCCATTGGAAGAATCTTTTAAAATATATTTAAAAATATATTGGTTTATGGAATTTAGAAATTTAGATCGGAATAACTCCATATGACATTTTTTATAAACAATGAAATTTGGTTCCATTTTTCATAAATCATTTAAAATATAATTTATAGCTTTTTTAATTGATAGAAAAGCAAAGGCTATACACTAGAATAAAGAATAAATTAGGTTTGAAGTGTGTTCAAATGGTATTTTTGTAAAAAGCAATTGTAATGCACAAATAACATATATTCCAAAATTTTAGGAGGTCTAAACCTCCTAGACATTCATTTGACTTTTGTCATATGCATCTGCTTTTCACCTAAACACATTCATTTGAATCTCCATGGATGACTAAAATTCAAGAGTCCAGAATAGAATAGTGTGGTCATCTTCCTTATACTAACATTTTTTCATACAATTTCAGGAAACTGAAATAAGAATTCAGTCCAAACCCATGTATGAGATTTATTTGTACTTCACTCCCCCACCATATGATTGAATCATGAACTCCAGTGAACTCCAGATTTTCTTAAAATCTTGGATTTTTCTGATTTTCTCAAACCTGCCATACTAGTGCTAAGTCAGGCACTCACTGCCCTGGGTTGGTCTCAGTAGCATCCACTCATAACTCTTGTTTCCTTGCACCAGGACTTGTCCTAGTCAGTCACATCCCTCAGTAGAGTCCTGGCCTTTCAAAGACTCTCTTTGAAAACAAAGCTTAAGCAGAAAGAATCCACAAAGCACTCTGAACTTAGGCAGAGGCAGGGGAGGGGAAGCTAGAGCCCACAAATCACAGAGGGTCTCCCCAATGTCTCTGATGCCCTTCTCCCTGACATTGCAACCTTTGTGTAGGTCTTGGTCTTCTTCCTCCAGGACTCTTGCCAGAGTTGTCCAGTATATATACTGGATTCATTTATTCCATTTCCAATCTGGTCTCTGTCCATGTCTTTTTAATACATAAAATTTATTACACTAACCATCCATTTTAAAATCTTTATAATGCATCCTTATTTTAGGTGGGTTCAGGTCCAAACACCTTAGCTTATATCTAGGACAGATTTACCTAATAGCCCTAGTCTTAGATTCTGACTCTCCCATCTTTCTATCGTTCTCCCCATTCAAACCATACCAGACACCCAGTTAACAGTACCCCCATGCTTACTCTTGTGTTCTCAGTGTGAATATATTTCATCACTTTATAATTGGCAAACTCAGATTCATGTTTCAAGAACAACTCTGGTAGCTTCTACTGTATTTCAAGAACATTTCTGATGTAAATGATGCATGCAAGACGGTCATAGAGTTACAGAGAAAGGAACAGCCAGATTGCCTGGCTTTGCTCACCTGAACAGCATTGCAGAATTACAATTAGATATCAGGCTTCCTGAAGCCAAGGGCCCTCTTGTACTTTATTTGTACTTTCGTAGTACATAGCACAGTATTTCATCATTTTAAAAGTGTGTAACATGTTCATGAAATGTTTTAACAAATGAAAAAATTAGTGGAAGAATAAATGATGAAAGATCACTATGATCATAGTATTAGGACTACATTTAAATGTTTGCTTGGTTAAAAAGAAAAGAGAAAATAGGAGAAAAGTAGACATGAGATTGATTACATGAGAAAATAACTATCAATGGTGAACATCAAGATCAAGAGAAAAACAAACTAGCAAGAAAGAATTTAATGCTTTTATTGTTTGATATAAAACAGAACAGTGGGGGTCAAAACACCAAGTTGACCCCACCAAGCATGTAGGGAGATATGACAAACATATAGGGAATATGCTTGCCAAATATGAGAGCAGAGAAAGAGCTATATGAAGGGATATGCTGCTTCAGGTATAAACAAACTGCAAGAAACACATTTTATTTAATAGAAACATCTGCAACAAAATCTCTGAAAATTTTCTGGAAAAGCAAATTTCTAGGCTGCAGCCCAGATTTACTTATTTTGAAGCTGCAGTGGTAGAGTCTAGCTATTTATGTCTTACCTGCCTTTCTAGCTGGTTGTTACCGGTACAAAAGTTTAAGAATCTCTGGAATACTGGGTCCTGAAGCTGGCTGTAAATTAAAAATCACCTGCAGGAACCTTTACTGACTACCTCATTTTGAGTCTCAAGTCCAGAGTTGGGACATAAATTGCTCTAGGTTGGGGTCTCATGTCAGTCTTTTCTGTTTCCTGAAATGATCCTAACTTGCAACAGGGTTTACAACCCCTGGAAGATTTTTTGTGAGGCAGTGGTTCTCAATCTTGGCTCTACGTTGTATCAACTGGGGAGCTTTAAAAATACTATTATCTAGGTCTCACCCATAGAGAGTCTGATTTAATTAATATGGAATGCAGCATAAGCATCATGATTTAAAAATACTATAATTACCTGGAGAATTTTCAAACCA